TCTACCTTTCCTTAGTTAAGAAAGATTTAATTACATCCTGTGTGTAGTCCCAAACTTATAGAAAATCATAGCTTATATATGTAAAATCTTCTCAGGAAACCTACTGGTTAAATTGAGTGTTCAGTAGGCAGTGCCACGTGTTAAAATTGAGATCAGTGTTTTGATATGCATCAGTTATGCCTTACAGACTGTCTGATGTCTTTATTTTATCATTCTCTCTTTTCCAAGTAAGGAATGGGAAAGCATTTTCTAGTCTTAAATATTAATTTTTAGCATGTTTTGGTAATGAGAACAAGATTAGCAGCCAATCTCGGGGGAAAAAGTTCTGATTAGTTGACTTCAACAACTACAAAGAAGAATTAATCTTTTTTGTGGGTATTAATAGAGGACTTAGTACCCACTCCTGCATGTGCAGTGTTGTCTCATTTTATTAAATTTCACATTTTCTTCTTATCCAATGCATTTTGATATGTTTGTGTTAGTTCAAATTCTCTATTTTTTGATGGAAAGAACTTGGGTATGAGAAATCGTTTTAAATCATTTGCATGATTGCATCAGACATCAGCATCCCATAGCCTGGGGTCATATGTAATCTGTCAGGATAATTCATCCAGACTGCATTCGAAGGCGCCTGCAGAGGAGATGAATGGTTCTCCTGACGACAGCAGTCTGCTTTCCTCTACCAGCTTTTTAAGGGGCACTCATCTTTCTAGCACACGTTTTGGTGAAGAGCTGAGCTTATTCATGTTTGCTGTGAACATGGTCCTCGGGACATATGAAATTCAATGCACACCTGCAGACCTTCCAGCAAATGTCAAGTGTAATGTGTACATGCTAGTGACCTGGTGCTTCTGCGAAGATCTTGATCTGTTCTGGAAGTGCAGTAGGTCTGTTGTATGACAGAGAGGACTGAAAGAAAGCGAGAGACACCTTCAGTTGTCTACCGACAGCAGAAGTTGTCAGCCCGTTCAGGAAAAATTAATTTAGGAATTGACGTCTGTCTCATCTGTGTGTTCTCAGATATTCTATTCTCCTGCACACAGATTAACAGAAGCAAAAGGTTCTGTGGTACTTAGTTGATGACTTCCAAATGAATGAAGTGGCTAATGCTCCTGTATATGCAACTGTAGTGCAAAGAATTGTACTTTATCTTTTTCTTGGAGAAGTTGCTGACTATTGCAGATTGCTCCCCTGATGCAGGATGTATATATGTGTGTCTGGAATTGGTTGGTGGTATTCATACAACTTTGGCAGAAATGATGAAGCACCACTTACTAGGAAGGCTCAAGAGCTACCGTTTTATAATACCAATGAAATAGAATGAGCTTTCATTGTTCAGCGAGCTTCACTGGAAGTGTAATTTTTTTTTTTTTAATTTTTTTTTTAGCAATTTCCAAATAGCTCCTAAATGATGCTGCTGCCCTTGGGAGCCTGTGTACATTGCATGCTGGACATGCAATGGTAATATTTAAAATGTTCAGGCATGAAGTGTCTGGCATTTCTGCTATCACTAACCTAAGTGAAACACACAACAAAATGAAATCTAAAATGTCCAGTCAGAATGGGCTACTTTAAAAATTTTGCTTCATAGTAAGATGATGCTGTAGATGCAGTTCAGCAACAACTTTCCATTTCCTTTCCAGTATGATTTGACAGCAGGTTCTTTAATATGGATAGATTAGAGGAGTATTTTTCCTTACATGTTTTCAAGAAAGCCTATGATAAAAGGGAGATTTGAGATTTGCATTTCCATTAAATTGTGTGAGACAGATTAGAAAGTTTTTCTATCTAGCCACTGGAAACAAGACTGTTCCAACCTACAAGGGGAAATTTGACATTTCTTAGTGATGTGTCTTTAAAAGAAAAGTCTCAATGTCTTTTTAAAAATTACAATATTTTATTTGCATTTTTTTTTGCAATATATTTTTTTGCAATATATTGCATGACCTAAACGTGTTAGGAGTATTTTTTGAGTTCTTTTGCTTTTCTCATCAGAAAGGTGCGCCCTGTTCATCATACAAATGCTGTACCAGTATTGTTTCATGCTTGAGACAGCTGAACAGCAAACTAGTGAAGAGGATGGTTTAAATGAATGTTATGCATGATCTTTTCTACTTTGAATTGCAGAAATTGACAGTTCAAGTACAGTTTAGGTCAAAGAAGAGACCCAGGCTCTCCTTTGGCTTTGACTTCCAGCAGCATAGCCTTAAGATGCGAAAGCGTGGGGAAGAACCAGATACATAATCATATGTATTCTTGGTATTCCTGGTTGTAGGAAATAGCATTTCTGTGGTTACTGCATTGCAATAACAGGCCCATTGAAGTGAGAAGTAATTAACTACCGAGTATCCTATGTTGTGCAAACATTTTTATTTTCTTTAAAATGCACTCAGAACAGTGTATCTGCCCATACATGTGAAAGCTGCTGTGATTTCATGTTCAAGAGGCCACTGTGTTAGTGTATCTGCATAATATTTTCAATCTGTAAATGAGTGCACAGTCGCTTACCTCTGTCACAGGATAGGGAAAGCACAGAACTGGTTAACTGGCTCATTGTTTTTGTTTAGGACATAAGCTAAACCTGACTGCTGTATATATTGAAGATTAATGTTATATGTCCACACGAGTTTTGAAATATCACCATGAATAAAGACCTAGTATATATTTGTTGTTTTTATTGTTGTTAATATAATAAGTTCCACGTATTTTGTAATGTGTGCGACTACTTGCTTGCAAAAAGCCAGTTTACTAGCAAAGGAATCAGTATTTTTCTTGACTGTTAAGCATTTTGTGACTAATAAGGAATCTGACATTTAAATGTTTACTAACTAATGAACCAAGGCCATACGGGTTTTGAATGATAAATCTTTCACTTACTCTTAGGTTTGTAACATGCCCTTGGAAAGAAACCAGGATTAAAATGATACGTAAAACATATGGTTGAAGTTACTTCCTTGTAGCATTGGACAATTGTGTCTCCTGTATTAGAACAACAGTAATTCAGGAAAGTAGTTTATCAGCTGTCACCCAAATGGAAATAATACTTGTCATGAGATGGAACAAAGTGTTTTAAAACAAATTGCTAAAACTGGATGAAGAAAAAACGTGGCTAAACAACAGCTTTACAAACAGAACTTTTTATTTTACTGAAGCAGATATTCCAGTTACCTTTTCCAAAGAAGATGCATCATTTTGATTCAAGACCGCTAGCAAGGAAAAAAGCTGCAGTTTGTACCTGTGATTCTGTATATACGAGCAGTGCTTTAGCTTTTAGAACATGCAGCTATCTTTCAGTGTGCGCAGACTATAAAGACAATAGGTTTTGTTACTAGTATTTAGGTGCTTAGGTCAGATTAATCAGACCTAGTTAAGTACCACAGTTTTTTCCCTCATGTCATTTCAGTACATTGGACTTAATTTTCCATTCAGTCTTGCATGAAATTAATTTAAGAATTTTGAAATTTAGTTAAAATGCTTAAATATGTATACAATTTTTGTCCCTAAAGCTTAACTTAGCTTTTCATGTTTAATAGAGGAACTACACATATTAGTGTATAATATGAAACACTTTCAGACTGACGCTTCTAGCTGTAAGAACAAATACTGGCCAATACAAATGATGTTGATCATTGTGAATTTCTAGAGTGTGAAATCTGGACATAATGTTAAATCTATTGTAATCACTTGGTAGGAACTGTATACACGAGCATGAATTTTGAAGGGTAAAATGGACCTACAGATAATAAATGTATGTGGAGTGGTGTCAAAGACATTTTTTTTAGTGACATATCTAATTTTTATCTTTGCTATTTTTGCTTACATTACTTTGTTCAAGCTTCTGCAACGACCTGATTGCTTTTAGGATAATGTGTACAGATCTCTTTCAGAAGATCTCTGGACCTTCTAGTGTCAAATCTTGAAAATTATAACGCTGTTCCTGGCCTACTCATTTCATGGGACTAAATTCAATAAATAGGTTTTAGCTTCCAGTGTTAACTAAAATAAATCAGAGATGTTGTGGGGCTTATGTTATTGCAGGTGTTAATTTTTCTGGATGTGTCCTTGTGCTCAGGAATACTTTGTTTCATCTTGATACAGTAATTTATAAAGAACCAGTGATGGTGGATGTTCCTTAAAAGAACATTCTTATTTCCAAAGCAACACACAAATTTTACACTTCTGGTACTACATACTGGGGGAAATTAATGTCTAACTTGTTGCGTAAATAGATTTATCAGTTTGCTCTTTCTAATTTGATTTTGAGAATATACAATTTGTGCTCTTTTGTCCACTTGTTGAACAAGTATTCTTTAGTATTGTTACTGCTATTTAAAATTAATACTCAAAGGTTAGGTAGAGGGCTCCAGGTTGGAGTTATAATTTAATTTGTACAAATCCAGAAAAATTGAGCATGTTCTCTAAAGAGCTGTAAGAATTAATTACAGCATTAAAATTGTGATACAGTAGAAAACAATGGACTAGCAGTTTGATGATGGTCAGACCTGGCAGTTATTTTCAGTAGAGTATTTGCTATCCATTGTCTCTCCACTTCTGTTCTTTTTCATCATGTTGTGAATACAGAAACAGCAGCAAACTGATGTGCTCTTGTTCTATTGGCGAGTTCCTCCCTCCTTTTCAGAACCTGTGTTGTTCTGTACCTGGGGGTTCAAGGAACATGAAATAGCAAGGATGCCTTCTGTAGTGACTGTGCAATTTTTCAAGTCATTATGGATGAATTTTTATCTCGTTGAGGAAATTGTAGCCACTCTTTGGTCACCTATGATGAGAAGCTAAACATTAGGCAACGTTAGTTGAATGGTATTTTCTCATAATTGCTGTTTCATCTGCATGTAACTTACCTTGGAGTTTTCTTGCAACGTGATTAGTATGGTTAAAAACCCAATAAATCTTATGCCACAGCTAAAAACCGGGATGACTAAATCACCAGTGAAGCTTTGAAGGTGAACGTGTGTAGCTGACTTATTTTTGTTCTTTTGTAGGTGATGGATGTGGACACACTGTTCTGGGTCCTGAAAGTGGAACTCTTGCTTCAATAAACTACCCACAGACCTCTCCCAACAGCACAGTTTGTGAATGGGAAATTCGTGTAAAGCCTGGGCAGCGAGTTCAGCTCAAATTTGGCGATTTTGATATTGATGACTCAGATTCTTGTCATTCCAGTTACTTAAGAGTTCACAATGGGATTGGCCCCAACAGGACAGAGATAGGTAAGAGCTTTTGTTATTGGTATTTGAAAGCTATTGTCTTGTATAGAACTTGGATGTACTGTTGGTACTTTTGTTACTTTCTACATTTGTCCTTGTTTACCTGTTCTGAGCGTAGAGTAACTACTAGGTGTATAGTATTAGTTAAGTTCTTTTTTATAGCCCTAGAAAACTGGTATAATTCAATTGGATGTTGGACAGGGTAAGACCTTGCCTGAATACATCATACACTGCTTTTGTACTGTGTGGATTTTGAGTCTTATGAAAAGTGATGAAAAGAAGGAAGTGTCTATTATTTACAGGAGTGTCAAATAAGGTAAGGAAAGGAATTCCAGTAATTCTGTAATCAGAGTTGTGTTTTTCCTGAGCTTCATGTCAAGGAAACCCTGCAAAACTTTGAGGAGTGCTTTGTGCACCTCACCATGGTAGAAAAACAGCCATCAGGGACCAGTTTTACTAAATTTACTACTGATGGTACTGCTAGAAAGCACAGCTAAGGAAAGATTCTCCTGTATGCCATAGAGGTCTTCAGTACAGGGAGGGAGTACAGGTGCAACTGTAACTATATAAAAATAAAAGTGGTAAAGAAAACAGTAGTCTGATTGTGTCTTTCTCTGGTGACGTGCTTATTTCAAGTACGCTTACTATTGCTGCTCAGCAGATGAGCTCTCTGAAATGCTAGAGTATTCTTAATGTAATTATTCTTAAGCAATGGCATTTTGTTTACTGTTTTTAAAGCATATGTAAATGTCTGTCATCTTGACACAATTCCTGTGTCCTAAAAATGTACTGAAAAAATTATGAGTAATGATGATACCAGAGCATCCTACAATTTGTTTGTGCAAATGCTAAATGCAACACACATCCTAAAATAATAATTGATTCTTCAGATTCTTAAAGGAAACGCCAGCGATATTTTTTTTCTCAGACATTTCCCAGTCACTTGCGAAGTTTTTGTAAGCAGTGGAGAGCAAATTGCAAAACTATGAGGATCTTCATTAATTTAAAAAAGTAAAAAAGTAGTAGTGTATATATAGCTTACCTTTCTTTTTATATGGAAGAGCTCTGATTTGAGCTATTTATCTCGGTGATATTAAAGGATGTCAGGCTTCAAAAGTTGTGTAGTTCATATATCCTCCATCTTCTGATAATGGCCATAGTTTAATTTTTGTCTTCTTTAAGAGGACAAATTGAATTTCATGACTGTAAGGCAGGGTGTTTTTTTTCAAATAGCAGTGTAACATTATCATCTATGTCAAGGTACATGTAGTGTTTTAAGATCCTTGTGGCTACTTTGCATAGAACTCAAAATGAACTGTCATTCTTTCTTCAGTAAAATTAGTTGTTATTGTGCAGATTAATTTTATATTCTTTCCTAAAGCTGTAAGGGGGGGCGGGGGGAGAGAGAGATTGACTTCACCAAGATTGTTTTTGTGCAACTCAAATGCTGATCCCACTATATTGAGTCTTTTTATAAAGAGGCTAGTGGAATGTTAGCTTTGTTAACGCTCTTTTCCAACTGTTACTTAGGTAAGTGTGTGTGAAAATAAGTATGTGCTTGGAGCTGTTGAGCCAGGCTTGGTCTAAAATAGGAAACGCTGAAGTCCTTAAATGGCAAGGAACGTCCAGTTCTGATAAGTCTATTATTCACTTTTACAAGTGACTTAATGGGTTCAAGTAAATTTTCGACTTCGTTTGTTTCTCTTGACTTTCAGCTGTTCCCAGCTGGTGTAGTAGCACAGTATGTTGAGCAAATGTGTGTGTTGTTCTGCTCTTAATAAATGAAATTACAGAACAAACAGTGATATTAACAGTGACAGATACAGATGATGGAGATTCTTGAATGTTCATGTTTGAAGCAACAAACACAGGAGAGATTAAACAGTGACATGAATTTGTTTGGAAGGAATCTGGATTCATCCTGAGTTTTTCCATTCAAGGCTGCTGACATGGTCTAACATCAAAATTACATAAAATCGGAAATTCAGTGGTACCTACTTTAACCCAAAATGACTTAAAAATTGGCTGATTAGATTAAAACATAAATTCTTAGTGGGTTAGTTCATTGATAAACAGAAGGTTTTTAATGAAGCTTTGAAAGGCTAGTTCTCATTCCAAGCCTTTTGAATATTTATCAATGAATCAGAAAAAGATTCAAATCCTAGGTGTTAAGTTTGTCTGTAGTTTCAGTAACATCTGGAGGTGCTCTGTATTAAGTTTCATCACAGTCCAGTCACTGTGCATCTACAGCCAGATGTACTTATTTAATACATACAATGTAAGCCCAGATCTATAGGGGCAGAGAATGTAAGCTACTGTAGGAATTCCCTCTCCTGCCGTAGTGTTGCTGTATAAAAGCACTTGGGGTCCTTCAATGCGTAAGTACAGACAAAATAGTAACATTACATCTTCTGCATATAGCATTGACAGAGGCATTATGGCAGTCATGTTTTGTCCATTTCTAGTGCCTACTTTTTAAAAAGATTGCTAAAAATCTGGTGAGAGGCCAGGGAAGAAGTAGGAAAGTGATTTATAGTCTCGAAGGTATGTTTTGCCATGAATCATAAGGTGCATCATTCTGCAGTTTGTCAGTGCTGTATCTCCATGGTGGAGGCAGCACTGGATGGTTTATCCAAGCTAGATTTAAACGTCTTGCCCTGTGTATTTGCCCGAAGAAGAGGATAAATGGTGTCTTGAGGGCAGTCTGACCTATCCTGAGAGGTGTCTCATGCTGGTCAATCGTCTAACAAGATCCAGTGGCTGAAAACGAAACCTAAGAAAAAAAGGAGAAGTAGTTGGAAAAATGATGCAGTTCATCATAATGAATGCAGTTATTCATTGAAACATGACTTAGAGCGAAACATAGGGTCAATGTGGAGCCTTGGTAAAAGGGAAGTTACTTCTTTGTAACTCTTGCTGATAACAGTTTAAATAGTGAATTGAAGTAAGGTTATATATATATAATATTATAAATGTCATTAAAGTATTGTAAAATCTAGTTTCTTTTTTTCTCATTAGAAAATACCCTTGCTTTGTTCAAAGAATATCTGAATAAGCAACATGTAGAAAGCTCTGAATAATGACAGGAATTTGTATTTCTAGTTTTTTAAAATTTTATTAGTACTTGAGAGTGCAGCTCACTTTTTAAAGGAATTTGACATACACATTATATTTGTTTGTGTTATCTTTAACTTTGTTTTGTATTATATTTGTTAAGAACTATTCCTTCAGTGCAATGTTATTCCTCTCCCTCTACTTTGGTATTGTAATTTGCCTTTAGTTGAGAAGGGAGTCTTGGCTGCTGCTTTTTTTTTTTTTGCTATTTTGTGATATGATAGCATACTTATTATCAAGAAAGCAAATAATTGAATGGTAAACTGAAACATATGCACTGTCGTTTGCTGCTGGTGATTGTCCACTTTGGTTGTTCACTACAGTATCTTAAATAGGGTTATAGATGGTTTACAACATTGAATGATCAAGGGAGCCTATAGAACAGAGATTTTTTTTTTTTTTCTTAACAGGTTAATAAACTGATCAGTATTTTGTTAAAGTTTATAAGTTAGTAGGACTGGAAAATTCCATATTGACTTGTGTCTGTTTAACAGCCATTCATCCAGGTAATGTCATTTGGTAGTAATTCTAGGACTTCATGGGGCAAATATTGTCAGTATCAACAGACTCCAGCAGTTTAAAATGTATTATTTGTGGTCATTTTGGATGGCAAGAGTAGTATCCAGATGCAGAACCTCTGTTACGTTTTATAGGTGCAGCAAAACAGAAAGGGAACCAACTGGCAGTTTATATTAATGGTACTCACATATGCTTGTATGTTAATGCTGAAGCGCAGTGTATCATGCCTGCTGTTGTCCAAAACGAAGAAAAGCAGTTGACAGAAACGATGAAATAGTCGACAAGGAAGGAGTGTCCCAACAGCTGAGGGAACAGAAGGGCTTTTTTCTCATTTGCTTCTGTCGACGATTCTTCTTGTCCTAACTTCATGGTTTTCCTTGACAGGTTTCTCATGGTCTTTGAAGAGCTGACTGTGAGGGTTATGCATGGCTAGAGGTGAACGGGATAAGGTCACATTTGTTTGCGAGTGTTAAGGGTATGAGAGACTCTTACCTGTTGACAGTGCTTATACACTATATCCCCAAAGCCTTTTAGGATGAACCCAGGAAAAATCTGGTACCCATACTCTGCCATTTGCATTAAAAGGCCACTGACTTCATTATTTAGTGTCATGCACATGTATTTGTTTTTGAATATATGCCAGAATTAATGTGAGCTTACCCTGCAAATGAAAAAAGATGCTTATTACATATGTTGGGTTTGGTCCGTTTTTGTTCTCCCCCTTCTCTCCATAGGAAAATTCTGTGGATTTGGCTTTCAAATGGATGGTTTAATTACTTCAAAAAGTAATGAAGTCACGGTACAGTTCATGAGTGGAACACACACTTCTGGACGTGGATTTCTTGCAGCTTATTCAACCACTGACAAATCAGGTATTTATAATCATTTGGTAATTTTTCCATGCTGGTAAAATTAGGGCTGCCTAGTAAAAACGCAGAGCCAATTTATTTATTACTGCGTTCTCACAAATTAACTTCGAAAAATGAAGACTTTTAATACAGTCTTCCTGATACTTCTGAGTAGGAAATTTGACTCTTAGTTACTATTCAAGTTATTGTAGTTTTAAAGAAATTATATCAAAGCTTACCCTGGATAGCAGGGCAAGAATCACAGTTATCTGTTAGGAATGAAAGAGCTGCTTCAGAAAAAGGACGAAATGCATTTTTTCAGTTAGTAATCAAGGTGGCGGATAACTAAAAATTTTTCCTATTGAGCTGTATGTATTTTATACAGACCAACCTTATGGAAAGTTTTATTTCAGTAATGGTTTCCTATAGTCCCTCAACTCTTTAATTATGTAATCTGATGATTAGTTTTTCGTTTTTGTGCCATTTCTTGTTTTTCCCATGCTTTTGGTTATCCTAGCCTCTAAAGGAGGCTGCTGTATTTGTTTTGAGTCTACTTCCACTCATTGTAATGGTGAGTGACATATACGGTCCACAAAGAAATGAAGGATTGCCAGCAGCTGCTTCATAAGACAAAAGGCTTGAGAAAACCCTTTTTAGAAGTAATTCTAAGAAGAGCAGATAAAGAGTTTTCATTTTTAATTTTTATTTTGTGGGTTATCTGATGCTTTTCTCTCGGTATTTTGGACTGTATGTGCTGATACACAGCAGACTGAACACAAAATTTGAGATGTCCATCAGGGATGCCAGTAACATGGCACTCTAATGCTGCTTGGTTTCAGTACTGTAGGACTGTTACATGCTGAAAACACAGGCCTGTTTAGCTAGCTCGTTAATTTAATTTTGTGAAAAGAGCGTATGTCTGTGCCTCTGAATTATGTCAGGTTCTCTGAAGTGTAGCTATAATTTAAAATTAAGCTGCACAAAAAAAAAAGAACGTTTGTAGTGTTTCTCTTCTTGTCTATGTCACGTTCTCAGTGGACTTCCCAGTTACTCAGACAAATTATCAAGGTTCTACTGAAATACAAAATCTGTTGCAAGACAATTTAGTAGGAATGGGGTTTTTTTATTCTGAGAGTTTTGGTTAAGCCACAGAGGCTCAAATGTATATTTTTGTGTACTTTAAAAAGCATACTCCAACTTCTTGTCTTTATCATCCTCTTGACCTAATGTTTTTTCTTTCCAGACCTAATTACCTGTTTAGACAATGCAAGCCACTTTTCTGAACCAGAATTCAAGTAAGACTGATTTACCTGTTTCCCCCAATGTCTTTAACGAAGTCATTTTGGTGTTTCTACTTCACTCTGTTACTTATACCTGCAGCTTGAAAATTTGCTGTCCAGAGATCTTGAGACAAACTAATTAGGGTTAGAGCTGAGTAACTTTGACATTTGCACTCCTCCTTCCTCTGTCTTTCTCTCTCCCCCATTTTTGTTATTTACACGCAGAATACAGTAGAACCTCGTTAATTTGCGCTAACACATAGGCACTGTTCTCTCGTTCCGATAGAAAGAGTATTACTTCTAGAAACATGTATTACAGCAAGTATGTACCTTAAATACTGAAATTCATACTACGGTTATCTAAGGAGAACTAAACTGTGAAATGTGTTAAAAATTACAAACCCATTTCACAGTTTGGTGTGAATTAATGGGGTTCTGTGGAGTCATAAAATGCTACCTTCTGATGGGGGTAACATAGGTAATTTCCCTGTTTTCTCCTTCTCCATTTCCACTGAAAGCAAGGACAGTGTTTAAAGCTGCAGACTACTGTGAAATTCATAAATGTAATTTTTGGAGACTTCGGCCCTGGTGTCATGAAATGCCTCAAAGCGCAACCTTTGCATTTCTCTTTCATTTACCCAAGTTCCAAAACAGGGCTCTGATTGTAGGTGTTGGCCTTACTCAGCATTGTGCTGAAGTCTCTGAATCCCACTATTTTCATGGTACCTGCAAAGTCGCTTCCACTGTTGTTGAACTGCACTGAAAATGTTAATAGTTTACTCCAGTTCACTGTTAAGTCTTGAAGATTTAGTAGTTTTTGCATGTGCAGTATGAAATGGGACTAGAACATCAACACAGGCTTGCCTCTTGCTTTTCATAAGCTAGTGGTATTAACTGAATTTGGCCAGTTTTTTATGATCAAAGCATTGCCAGGAGCTATTATAAAGTAACATTACTTTTCAGATGTATTATTTAAGAATGCAAAACAAATAAATATGTAGGTCTCTAGTTTGGAAAATAAAATTAATTAATATTAATTAATAATTATAGGACTTTCAATTTACAGAAGCCGTGCAGTATTTATATTCTAAAATGCTGGCTTTATTAATTTATTATGTTGAGACTGGAACTGTAGTTTCACCTGAGACTTTTTTAAAAACTTTTTTCAAATGTCTGTTCTCCTGTTGTGTACTTCTCTTCCTGAGTATTTTTTTGTCTGACTTGATATGTCTTCAATTAGGATATATCCTTAAATAGTGATGTATGAATGATAGCAGTGTGTTGTGAATCAAAAACATAGTGACTACTTTGTAACAGTATAAGAGTTGTAGTTGCACGCATATCTTGACTTGATATTTTGTTCTCTTCCAGTAAGTATTGTCCAGCTGGATGTGTGATTCCTTTTGCTGATATTTCAGGCACTATTCCCCATGGATACAGAGACGTAAGTAAACATATTGGGGGCTCGCATGAATTTTGGTGAAATGCGCACTGTATAATTACAAGTCAGTTATAGTTGTTCACATTAGTTCTGCTGCCTGGGTTCTGGAATTTGTACCTCCTTAAGTGAATAGCATGGTACTTGTTTTTTTGCACAGCTGCTAAATGGCTGGTGCTTCTTCTGATTACCATCTCCAAGAAGTGAAGTAGTGTAGTAGAGACTCAAACATTTTTGTAAGGCCTGCTGAGAAGGGTGGATCAATTAAAATATTGTTTTCTACTTCCTGTTTTGTTTTTTATTGGCTTTCTCAGGTTGGGAAATTCAGATTTATGAAGTGAAAACCAATTCTTTTAATGGTGTCCTCTTGCATTTGACACTGTTAATGTGTTAATGCATCTCTAAACAGAGGATCTCAGTGGTTATCTTAATTTTTTTATTACAACTTGAGAGATGAAATACTATTTATGCTCAGCAGCTCTAAAAACATTTGCAAAATGGAGTTAATACTGTAACATTAATAGTTCTATAAACTGGAAATGAAAGTCTTTAATAATGTACTATTTACTTGGAACACTGGTTTTCTGATGTAAGCTTTTGTAACTGAATTGTCATACCTGCCATAGGACTGGAGGGTGTTTGCATTGTTTATTTTTAAGTAATTATAACTTTGCTAGCAGTCTAGTAAAAAATTACATTAAACCTTATTGTTTATCTTAAAATACTCTTTTAATATGCTATTAGATCTAGCACAGAAGAAAAACAATGTAAAAATTATATTAAGCACAGATTTTAATATTAAATATGAACATAAAATATGCCTCTGATTTTCTTTTCTCAAATATCTGTAAATCCTAGGCTACTTGCCTAAATAATTACCCACATGTAAAAATGTCACCACAGCTATCACTGGTAGTATGGTCTGGTCCACACTGAGTCCTTACTAAATGTCTGCGAGTTAATTTTTGTAGCTAGTAACAAGACGAAGTTGATTCTCTGTCTAACATTTTTGCAGCATCAGTAGGAATTCTGCTTTTTGGGAGACTTTTTGCCAAAATCTGGAAAAAATGCTTTCTATGGAGGAAAGAGGAAACTTTAGTGAATAAATGTCCTGTGACTTTTTTTTCATATACTTTATTGCTTTGAGTAAAAGGCAGAGAGTTCCCCAGAAGTCAAGCTGTGTGGAAAGAAATCAAATTGTCCAGCACTTCAGAGAAAGTTTCAGGTAGAGATTTCTCATGCATCTCTTTCAAATGATCAGCAGCTGCTTGCTGCTTTAAAAAATACCCTAAATGTTGATTCTTTTGTGTGTGACCTTAATGTCTGCAGTCGTTGAGGACTTGTGCTCATTGCTGATGTTTTCTGGTGAGCAGGGAGGACAGAGCTATATCTACGGCAGAATCCCATGCTCTTACTTTCAAGAGAAAGTAGGAAAGGAAAGGGGAGCTGCGTGCATGAGTGAGAAATAATAACATTTATTTAGAAAGCTTTTGGGATATTTGGGGAGTGGGGATAGGGTTAGAGTTTTTATGTGTGAATATACTGAGTAGAATTACTTTTGGAAAAGTCTTGGTGAGCAGGTTTTTTTGCCAGTGAGCTTAAGATACAGGGACATCCTGGCCTGCTGCACCGTGCAGTTATTTCTAAAGAAGCCACAACAGAGAAAGTTGTTCCAATTTTAAAATACTGTGAGAAAGAAAATCATCCATGAAGTCTTCCTTCTCTGGAAAGGTTCTGCTGATTCCTTCTAACAGAATTGTGGTGAGGCTCTATAGCACCCGGTTGACTCGTTGGCAGAGCAGTGCAGCAAATGTGTTTAGTAGCAACAGCTAGCAGTGGACTTCAATTGGGGGAGCAACTGTTAACAGTAAATAAACATCTGCAGTCATCGTCTGTTGTTTATCGACTTGGGCAAGTCTTGCACTGGGATACCACACTAGTAATTACAAGCTAAATAGGTTTCTGGAAGGTATGTTGGGAGAGACCCAGGTGGTCCTTCAAAGACTGCTTAGGCACACTTGATCTTCTAAAATTCAGGTTGATGCCAGTCTCATTGGCTGTGAGAGCAAGGGGCCGCACTGGGGTCTGCAGCGTGTCTGTGCATACCCCAGTGCTGCACATTGCAGGAACGCCTGTGAATATGTGTCTATGCCTGTTGCACTGTGCCTTAGCTGGTAATCCTCCAGAAATCTTGGTGCAAAGCCACTGCTGTTAAGCTTTTATTGGAACTGCGTTGTCTCTGCTCCTGAGCACCAGGATGTTTCTTGGTCAAGCCCCTTTAGCCTGGAAGGCTTTGCTTTCCCACTGGAGAAGATCTGCTGGGCTAGTTTTTGGTCCAGGAGACAGAGGCGTCTTGCTCTGCTCACTCTGCTGTGCCTGGAGGACTTAGCGTAGTGAGCGAGCCCTGCTCTCTGTGGCACAGCTAGCCTGCAGGCCAGGGCAATGGAAGTGGCACTGTGACATTTCCGAGCGGATCCGGGCTCAACATTCATCCAGGGAGAGGAGGGAAGAACAGGGTGTCCTGCAAAAACTTGTTGCGTAACTGATCTCCACTGACCTGTATAACCTAGCAAATCGGCTTCTTTAGAACGAATTGTATTCACCTACTACTGCTTGTACAGATTAGAGTGCTGGATGGTTGAACCATATTTAACCATGAGTTAAAAAATATAACCCATCAGTTAAAAGCTATAAAATCTACAGTGCATCACTCCTTAATTGTGAGAAAATGAATAAACATACTTTCAATGTGCTTTCTATTGAAAGGTTTCCTCTGAATTTCTGCATTCAACTTCTGTTGTCTAACATCATAGATTTATTGTAGGCTGAAAGTCTGGCTGTCTGGCTTTTTCAGAGTGATTCACCTTGCTGTTTGTTTATTTAATTACAAGAGTTACATTCCAAATACATCTGGGTGAGGACGCAATGAAATGTAGGACCTTCTTTTTGTGTTTTTATAAATTCCATAATAAACCAAAGGTGAATGGTTTCTACATAACAGAGATAACAGTTAAGAACAGTATCTTAATGTAATAATAACAAAGACTGTAACTGGGCAATGTAGCATTTACACTATACGGTGTAGTATTTAATTTAATTACAATGTAATATGAAATTTCTCTTTTTGTTCCCCCCTCTTTAAGTCGTCATCGCTTTGTATGGCTGGTGTTCACGCAGGCGTTGTGTCAAATACTCTGGGTGGCCAAATTAATGTTGTAATCAGCAAGGGGATTCCATACTATGAAGGCTCCCTGGCTAACAATGTCACCTCAAAAGTGTAAGTGTACTTCCTGTGTTCTCCTTATCTTTAGCACCTTAGATCTTCGTAGTGCCTCATTGCAGGAGTGCCTCATTCAGGTAGTGGAGCTACGTGTTCCATGGACAGGTTCCCTTCTGTAAGGTTCTCACAATGCTCTTTTGCTACGGTGTGATTGTTTTACCAGATATTTTTAACCTGTAGTCCATAAAGATTAATTTTCCAAATTCTGCAAGGAGGTTTTATCTTGCAAAGTACATGGTGTGGCCATAAATTCCTAATGGTCTGTGGAAGAACAATAATTTAATGGCAGTGTTTTACTTGCAGCGAAAGGAGTGTAACTTGTCATTTTATCTCAGAAGTCCCAGGAATGAAAGCAATCAGAGGAGATTGACTCTTGTTATTTTGAATAGCTTAATTTAAAAGGGAAGCATTTTGATGAAGTCTTGTATTTTGCTGGCCAGAAGTTTGTTTGAAAGCCTTTAGCTCAGTATCTCTGGACTAGATTTCAGCTGAAAAGGTGTTGGTACTGAAAGTGCTGCAACTTCATGACAGGAAGTGTTACTTTAATCATGAAGTGCTTGTTTAGTCGTATGTGTATAAGTTTCAGTGACAAGCAGGCAGACAAGAAAAATAAATTGAAGATAGTTTGTTTCGATTTTCCTCACTGACTACCGCAAAAAACACCATCTGTTTTTTTTTCTCTGCAGGCAACCGTTATCTACAAGTCTCTTCACATTTAAGACAAGCGGTAAGCATTATCATATGTATTACATGTTGATGCTTTCATACAAATTTTGTGAGTAGAAATGAGCTTGCAGGTATTTTATTTCTTAATTTTTGTTCCAGTTAGACTTTTTTTACTGCATTTCTCAGTAATGTATACTTTTGGATTGTTTTACTATCTCGTTTTGTTGATTAATCATCACTACATTTATAGGTGTAGTGATGTATAAAGTACACTTTGCTTATCTGTGGAAAGAGATTCTTTCAGGTTATGTTCCACTGTTATAATCTGGTTTAAAATGACTTGACTCCCGTACTTTAAACAAACTGCTAAAGCAGAGCTGGGCACTTAGGAGTTAATCTTTATTTGTAACAACTGTGCATTCTAGTTTTTTTCCAGGTTTACTCCTTACACTTTCCTTGTTGCCCGCTAAGAAAGCTTGTGGAAATCCAAAAATGATTCCTCAACTTTTTCCACCCTCCTTTTACATTTTTTCCTCCAATATTCTTGCAGCTGAATGCTATGTGATAAATCTCTTGCTCTGGAAGGGCATCTCTTGGGCCTTGCTATGTGTGCAAGTTGTGTTCCTTCTTGGCTGCCATGTTTTGATTCGTAAATGTGTACCAGGCTGCTGATTGGTATAACAAGTGTTGCCCCTTTTTAAAGCTTTACTGCTTTGCATGGTTTTACTTTCTGTCAATTACCTGTTTTTCAAATAAATTAGTTGTGTTTTTCTAAATTTAAGCTAGCTTTTCTGTACGTCACTTTAAATGCCGTCTTTGCATGGATGTTAGAAATATTGTGAAGACAGTGGCCTTTTCTTATCTCTTTAACTGTTTTAATAACAGTATTAAAAAAAAACTAACAAAAGCATTATGTCTGTTGTCCTCAGGGATAAAGTTAAAAACAGAAAAAAAAGGGGAAGTCATGCACAAGCTCCTCAAAAGTAAACAAATACTTTTCCTAATACAGAAATAAAAGTGATGCTGAATGGGGATATAAAGGCAGGAATCTGATGAGCAGAAATCTTTGGAGGTGGAAATGTATACAAACAAGAAAAATTAGAAAATATAATCCACATGATATTCAAGTAATTTCTCTCCCAGACCTCTGCAAAAGCTGGAAGAAGGAATTCCATGTCTGGTGACCTTATGCATGGAGAATGTGAAACACAGTGATCGAGGCAGGGTTTGTTGGGGTTTTTTGTCTTTCAAAATGAGATCTGATAGAGCATATGAAAGTAATTAAATGGCCTGGACATATGAAGAGATAGGACAAAATGCTGATCTAGACTATCTGGTTTTCAGTGACACATTTGAGAAATTATTGAATAAGCTAGAGACAAGATGTGGGTCTAGATTAAAATGTGTGTAGTTGGGTGGCCTAGGGGTTAGCTGAATGAAAAAGAGGACTGACTCTGTAGCATGCTTAAATGAGGTTTATCAGACTCTGGTGAAGTTACTAGTGTGGTTCTTCTACAAGAGTTGGTTTCATGCCTTGGTACAAAATAGAGTGTGTTATTAATGCCAGAGGTGTCGTCAGTGCAGAGGAAGATGAAACTACTTGTACAGGAAGACTTGGCTGACTTTGAGACTTGAGTAATAGAAATTAATTGAAGAATCACAGAGCAAAAAGTGTAAGATTGGGTACGTAGAGACTGAGGCATTTCTGCCTCAAACTGGCAGCATGTTAGATGGAAATGACAGCTGAGGGAAAGGATTCGGTTAGTTAAGTGCTAATGTGATCCTGTGCTGTAGCAGGTGAAGTATGTCCAGTAGAGACAACGAACTATTAATGCCATCGCACAGGACATTGGCAAGGCCTTGTCTGGGATCCAGTCGTGCGTGGGCTCAGCCGCCTGCGCCTCCCTTGAGGGATGAGCGCCCAACCTTGGTGCAGAGGAGGGCTGCAGGGGTGCCTGCAGGGAGAGGGGGAGCTCACAGCAAAAGGCAAACCAGGCTGGGTTGTTCAGGCTGGCTGACTGAAGGCAAAGATTGCTCTCCACTGATATGGCTGGGGAATACCTGTGTGAGACGGGAAAGCTGTTGGCACTACAGAATAAGATTTTAGCAAAGAGCAAATGGATATCAACTAGCCATAAGGAAATTTAGCCAGGAATTCAGGAGACGTTTTTTAGCCTTCAGCAGAATGTGACATGAGAATAACCTTCTAGTAAGAATGGTGACAAAAAAATACAACTTATTTCAAGGATGCTTTTGAGCTCAAGGCCAGGATTATGACATGGCTTCCTACATGCTTAGGTGTATTCTTTGAATTAACATTGTGATACTGAGGTGGGTTTAAAAACTAAGAAGTTCTACAGACACAAAAAAGGAATGAATTGCCAAGTAGTCTGTTTCCCATTCCTGCATCAGCCATACATACTCTTAAACAGTGATAGCTCTCCCAAAGCTTCTTGTCTAGTGCTCTGTGTGAGTGGTGAGTGAGAGAATATCCACATTACTCTTGAGCAGACATAAATCATGACTACAAGTTTGGCTCCAGCATCACTGTTAGAAAGCAGAAGACAGTATGTTTTATTGGTAGAGTTGTTATGGAATAAATTTAGACAGCAGTTTAATATTTGCATGTAAAGTCTTAAACTCCAAGCAGCTATAATCATTGTGTAGCTTTAATTTTCATTTTGAATCCTCACCTTTTCTGTTGCTCAGGTTGCTATGGGACACTGGGGATGGAATCTGGGGTAATCCCTGATTCCCAGATCACAGCATCATCTATTCTTGAGTGGTCTGACCAAACAGGACACGTCAACATTTGGAAACCTGAAAATGCCAGACTAAAGAGAGTTGGTCCTCCTTGGGCTGCTTTTATCGGTGATGAACACCAGTGGTTGCAGATTGACTTGAATAAAGAAAAGAGAATAACAGGTAAGTGAGTCTGATGTGGCTTTTAAGCAGCATTCAAAAAGTTTAGTCTGACATCTTTTTTTCCAGTGCTTGGTCTGTATAGATAAAGTCCAGGTGACAATTACCACTACAGCAAAGTTGGTTCCATGTCCTAGCTATTACACTGAGGAGCCTGGAGTTGAACAGGTAGAGTTTCATAGTAGAAAACACCTCTTCCATCAGAATTTGTTGAAGTGTTTCCTGTGGTTTTATTGGATCCTTGATGCTTCCCTTTTCCTGCTGATTGTCTCCTTGGAGGTGCAAATCCATATCCAGTCAGCTCAGTCCACTGGTGCCTATGATGCAGGTGTACGGACTTAGGTTTCTAGGTTTTCTCTACTGCCTGTCACGGCCATGGTGAATCCAACAGTGGAGGTGGGAGCAGTTGCAGTGCAATGTGAGATAAGCAGCTGGCAGAGTAAACCAGCTGGCAGCCTCCCCTTCACTGCCTTGCCCGAAGTGGAACTCAGGCTGAGAGTTGGGGATGGTGGGCCCCTCAGCAACCTGTTGTGCTCAGCAAACGGACCAAACAGTGCAGACTGATGCAGCTACAGTCTGGGTTAGGCTCTGCCCCTTCACAGAGATTGTGACAGACCATCTGTCATGATTTTAGTGGCTGTCGTTATTTGGAGAGACAGCTGGAGGTGCTGTTTCCCAAGCCGCTCTGGATGGTTTGCTTGGCATTTTGGGAGTTGAGTGAGCGAGCTCATGCTTACCTGCTCCTGTTGATCCCAGCGTGGCCCGTGCTGGGTAGTGAAGCACTGAGGCATTTGCATTTTGGGGTTAACCTCAGGGGTAGCCTAAGTAGTAGCAGGGCAGCTTTTGTATCTTCCATGCTGACGTTAGTGTTTTCTGGTTTGATTTAATTATTCAGAGGTGATCTGCTGTTGTTAATGGGCAAGTTTGCAATGTGACTTAAATAAAAAATAAAGCGGCTTTAAAGAGTCCTGGGCTTTAATACTATTGTGAAACACCTTCCTTTGATCAGGTTTGGTTTGTCTCATTCTTGAATGCATGAGTTGGTCTCTGTAAACTCAGCTGCGCACCCTGCTATCAGCAGCTTGGCTTCCTGTCATTAAGCAGCTTGGGTTTACCAGCAGCCTTTGTTATTACCTCTCTGGGGACTATTTAGATTTTACATTACTCCTCTAATTCCTGTGCTAACAAGCTTTTACAAAACAGCTTTCCTGTCTATGTGAGTCTTTCCGCAGCACTGAAGTGTCGGCTTTAGGAAACTGCAGTACTTTAAATGGTGCTTTTAGGGTGGCAGTACCAAAGCAGGGAGGAGTGGTTCTGTCTCGGCAACTGGAGACAGAAGTGAGGCATGGTCAAATGAACAGGTTGTTTCCATGAAGAAATGGAGGAAAAGTGCTTAACAAGGTTATATCATGAGAATTAAAATAGAAAAGTAAAATGATTATTAAGTTTCAGTCACTGTAGAAGTTTCAGACCCTGGCACCTTGGATAAACTTTTTGAAACTTAACTGGACCAGTGGATATTCCAGCTGTGTAACTCTGGATTCAAAAGCTCATCTACTAAATTTTACACACTGGTGCCAGTTTTTTGTCTAACTGGGCACCTTCATTTTCCAGGTATTATAACTACTGGATCAACCTTAGCAGAGTACTACTATTACGTCTCAGCCTACAGAATTTTATACAGTGATGATGCACAGAAATGGACAGTATACAGAGAACCTGGCCTGGATAAAGATAAGGTAAAAATACCGCACAGTTTCTAGGTATGTTCTATGGAGATTTCACAATTGTAAATACTACTAATTTTGGTATAGTGAGGAAGCATTAAATAACTTTCCTTTTCGGTATAATTTTGAATCATAAACAAGATCTATGCAGAAGAAAATATGCAGATATGTAAGGATTTGAAGAGTTCTGAAATTCAGAGGTTATTTTTTTTACTATTTGGTGGTGGGAATATTCTATACAAGAAACTTCTGTTGCCAGTGGTAGGCTGTCTGGTACTGTGTCCCTTTAAGTATAATTGGATTTCTTTCAAAGTAGGTTGTATGTTTCAAAATAAAGGTTTACATTCTTACTCTCTTGTGGTACAGAATAAATGATAGAATCATAGAATGGTTTGGGTTGTAAAGGACCTTAAAGAACATCTAGTTCCAAACCCCCTGCCATGGGAAGGGATACTTTCCACTAGACCAGGTTCTCAAAGCCCCATCCAGCCTGGCCTTGAATGTTTCCAGGGATGGGGCATCTACCATGTCTCTGGCAACCTATGCAAGGTTCACACCACCCTCATAGTGAAGAATTTCTTCCTTGTATCTAATCTATACCTACCCTCTTTGAGTTTAAAGCCATTACCCCTTGTCCTATTGCTACGTGTCTCTGTAAAAAGTCCCTCTCCAGCATTCTTGTAGACACCCTTCAGGTAAAGACTGAAATAAGGTCTCCCCAGAGCCTTCTCTTCTCCAGGCTGAACAACCCCAACTCTCTCAGCCTGTCCTCACAGGAGAGGTGTTCCCCCCCCTGATCATTTTGGTGGCCCTCCTCTGGACCTCCAGCAGGTCCATGTCTTTCCTGTGCTGAGGGCTCCAGAGCTGGATGCAGTACTGCACATAGGGTCTTACCAGAGCGGAGTAGAGGGGCAGAATCCCCTCCCTCGACCACGCTTCTTTTGATGTGGCCCAGGATATGGTTGGCCCTCTGGGCTGTGAGCGCACATTGCCAGCTCATGTCCAGTTTTTTATCCATCAGTTCCCCCCAAGTCCTTCTTGGCAGGGCTGCTCTCAATTCATTCTCCACCCAGCCTGTATTTGTGCTTGGGATTGCCCTGACCCAGGTGCAGGACCTTGCACTTGGCCTGGTTGAACTTCTTGAGGTTCGCACGGGCCCACCTCTCAAGCCTGTCAAGATCTCTCTGGATGGCATCTTTTCCCTCCACCGCATTGACCGCACCGTTCAGCTTGGTGTTGTCTTGCAAACTTGCCAAGGGAGCACTCAATCCCACTGTCCATGTCACCGACAAAGATGTTAAACAGCACTGGTTCCAATACAGACTCCTGAGGGGCACCACTTGTCACTGGTCTCCACTTGGGCATTGAGCCATTGACTGCAACTCTTTAAGTGCGACCATCCAGCCAATTTTGTACCCGCCGAGTGGTCCATCTGTCAAATCCACATCTCTCCAATTTAGAGATGAAGATGTCGTGCAGGACAGTGTCAAATGCTTTGCACAAGCCCAGGTAGATGATGTCAGTCGCTCTTCCATTATGCACCAATGCTGTAACCCCATCGTAGAAGGCCACCAAATTTTCCAGGCACGGTGTTCCCTGTTGAATGATAAATCTTAGGGGTTGTATAATTTTCCATCTTTTATAATGTTTCTGTCAGCCTTACTTTTTGACAAAATACTGGTTTCTTTCTTTTATAATAGAACAGCCCTTGCAGAGGGGCGTTTTCTTAAAAAATTAGATGGTATGTTCAGATTGCAAATGCTTTGCCACACAGAAAAATTAGCAGCGAGATGTTAGCTAGGGTTATCAGCAAGGTAATCTTATTTTTCCTGTGTTACAGGGAAATATTAATAATGCACTCTTTAATAAACAGTAAAAATGAGAAGATTAATGTCCTATGTGGTCTTCCCAGTGGTTCAGATCAGATTTTCTTAAACAAATGAGAGGATTCTTGGTAACCTGACTGGAACCAGAATTTCATTCTTTTCTTAAAATTCTTGGATGTAATTTACCATACTTCCATAGGCCTGTGGAATTACATACATGTAATAGTAACTTGTAACCTAGCAACTTTTTAGAAACAGGTCTTAAGAATGCTAACTCTTTAGCTGTATTTGGTTTTGTGTTTGCTATGGGTTAAAGAACATTTCAAGGTAGGATGTAGCGTCCTGTTGATGAAGGTGAAAGGTTGAAGTGTCTTGTTCATTAAATTAAGAGGTTTTTGAAGATGGAACATAACCACAGTAGGAAACTTTCCTGAAAGGAGGAGACTTTTCTGTCGGGGCTGGTGCATCTCCTTGAACCAACACGTGAACTAACTGGAGGAGAAGGTAAAAAAAAAAAAATCCAGCATCTTTTGCTAGTTTTCGAGTGCCCTCTTCTGGCCATAAAATGAAATCTCAGCTAGCGTGCCGCCTAGATTTAGGCTTCACGTTTACTTCGGTTATTTTCTTAAAAAACCTTTGCAGCTGTTGCCTTTTAATTTGAGCATATTGTTTTTCTTGCGAGTTCGTGAAATGAAGTAAATTGTGGAGCTTGAAATTACAGACAACAGATTCTTTTTTCCGTGCTCTTTGTATCATTAGGTGCAATGCATGAAGAACCGTATGTATCCAGGAGGTGCAAATGACAGAAAGAAGGGATCAGTATGGTTGATCTCTTGGGCTTCAAAATAGCAGATTTTTTCCTCTGTCTGTCATCATCTTACTTGATACGGCTTTGCTTTTGGATGCATATTCATGCAGCCTTCTCCCTTTGAACCTTACATGACTGCACACCAGGCAAACCAGGAGGTGCTATTCCCTGTTGTTTTTTTTTAATAATGTTTGAAATTTCTAACGTTGTTGAGGAGACTAGAAGCTTTTCCAAGGCTTTCCTGTGGTCCTCTTTGCAAATAGCTTCTAGAGATCTGTCACTCCTCAAGACAAGCTTAAATTTTTTATATATAAGAAAAGGAACAAAAGGGGAAAATGACAAATCAGAGTTGCAGTGTGGGAAAAGTTTTGTTTGACAGCACAGAGGCAAATGGAGAGAGTTTCATAATAAATGGAATCTAAAAGTGATTTCTCATCAAAATCTTGCACTGTATTGACATCAGAAGCAATCTTTTTTTGTGCAAAAAATTAAATGAACAAAAATTACTGAGCTGCAGGTAAAGTTAAGTTACTATCATAACACTTGACATCAAAACTTGGCTAATAAAAGCCTGGAGTAAAGAACTACTTTACTGTTCATCTTTCTTGAAGGCAATAGTCCACTTCAATGATTCTTGTTGCCTTTGTTGTTACATGCTCAACCTCAAAAACCTGACGTGAGACCGACATTCAGTGTTGGGCATCGGTTTTCCAAATCTGTGACTTCTGCATGGGCTGCTTGGGCAGCCTGACGCAGCTTGCACCTTCTTTTAGCCGTGGGCACTGGCAGGCGTGGCGCAAACAAGGACACAGTACAGCGACTTGGGCTGGGCACATCCTCTCAGAGAGTCACCTCTGTATTTTGTTTCTCATTTGCATCTTTACCAAAACAAATAATTCTCTAGTGAGATCTGTAGCTACAAGCCTGTCAGCTTAAAAAACAAAAATAAAAATTTGCTCTAGTTTAGGGGAAAAGTGGCTGTAAATTGGAACCCAGTCTTCTGTGTTCTTGCCATGTCTCATTAGCTTGGGAATACTTGGGCACACAAACCGTGACTGCTTTGTAGTATTCATTTATTTCCAAAACAATGCCATAGGCTTGCCCCCCACATTTAGCCTGTCTTCTTTCACTGCTAGTAAGTACACTGAAGAACAATAAACTTAAATTTAGAGCAGGACAAGTATCACCGAGAGCTGTGTGCTTGTCAGCCTGCACTGCAGTAAGTTGGGGAAGAACAGAGACTGTATGCTTCCAGGGCAACTACCTTGTGTTTGCCCACCTACATTTTTAGTGTCATGAATGCATTACCAGTGAGTTTGATAGTGCTACTTGGATACATAAAAATGAAAATGCTGGGTACAACTTTTAAGATGTAGAAAAAACGCAATACTCAAACATGAAGCACTGCATTTAAATTACCGAGTGATTTATTTTTCGCTGCCTAAATCAGCTTATGTGTCTATTTGATCAGTCAGTGCTTTCAAACATGAAGACAATTAATGCCCACAGAAGGAGAAACTGAAATTCTTAGGCGGTTTATGTGTGTCTTTTGAGAGTGGAGACACATTATGTACGTTGGGGAGCCCAGGCGTGAGTTGCTTGAAGGTCCTAAGGGTTGTCTGGGGGTTTTGAGGGCTTGTGAATGGACAGCTTCCTGGAACACTGTTTTCTTTCAAACCGGTAGTGATACTCTAGTCATTTTGTTACAAAAACCTTAAACACAGGAGCGCAAGACAAAAATCTCTATCTTGTGTATCAAGGTGGAAACACCAGCGATCTACATTGATCAGAAGTGTGCTAAAACCTCGACTGCTCCATTCTATGCAGACACATCGGCTGTTACACAATACAGTGCTTGTCCTTAAGAGTGGCAAGGTGCTTTCTTGTTTCCAAGTGGTGTGAGTAAGCAGAAAACTCGCTATAATATTTATTTTTCAGGCGAGTGCCATAATTCTGTTCTGCATTATGTCCAACATGATTTGCAGTATCTGTATCAGTGCTTTAAAAACAAACATCTTACTCATTTACTGTCACCTCTATGGGGACATCTGTGGCAACAGCACCCAGGAGCTGCATTTGCAGCACCGAAGCCCAACTGCTGCGTGCTAACACGGAGGGATGGTTCACTTCCTACCCGAAGACACAATGCCAGACCAGCCGTCCCAAAGAAGGTGGTGGGATGGCTTGCTGGGTTGGAGCACTGGGCCTAGTTTCTCTGTTGTTTTAAGCAGATCAGTGCAACACCCGCAGTTGGCTGTAAGTTTGTCAGTGTGCTCACACTGCATCAGGCAGTGACTTATCTGCTTACTGGTTTTACATTTCAACCAGACAAATCCATTTTGTATTGCCAAATTTTGGTGAGTTCTTTGTGCACGAGGACCAGCAGTGAAGGACCAGCTCTAGCTCATCCTTTATGCAGAGCCTGTGCCCTCCTCTGCCGGAGCTGCCTGTGCCTGACGCCTTTGCTCTTCTCGTGCTTGCTGCTCAGCCCCCATCGACAGCAGCCAGCAGAGGACAGCTCGATCACACGCTCGGCTTTCTCTCCCTGCACTTTCTAATAAATGTGGACTATGCTTAAACTAGGAAGCTGTGCAAAGGCACCGCTTCGTTCCTGCTTCCACATTGTCACAGCTGCTTGCTCTAAGTATTGGAAGAGGAAATGCAAAATACCAAAAAGGACCAAGTTAGAATTATTCAGTGCCGTAAACATGTGAGATGTCTTCAAGAGCAGGCATTGCCTGGGGAGCACCAGTGGAGTACTACGTGGTACCTTTATTCTGAAGTAAGTAGTTGCGTGCATACACGTACGCACACACCTCTCTCTTACTTAGTTATATTTCATAGGGCCAAGTGAGAGGAGATGTGCAGGCAGCAGCACTGTTCTGGGGTGAACTTTCAGGATTCTGCACCCCTTTTTTTCCTAAATAAGACATCAGAATTGGTTGTAGTTACTTAGTTGCTATTGCATTTGTATAACATGATGTTTGTGTGTCTTGTGGTTTGTTTTTTTTTTCTTCCCCCTTTTCTAGATATTTCAAGGGAACACCGAATTGTACCAGGAAGTTCGCAACAATTTCATTCCACCTATTATTGCACGCTTTTTCAGGATTAACCCCTTAAAATGGCACCAGAAAATTGCAATGAAAGTGGAATTGCTAGGATGTCAGTTCAGCATAGGTAAGGCAACTGGAAACCTTTCAGCTGTGCAAGGCAAGCAGTGACATAATTTGGCAAATATCACATTGTGGGTGTATATTCAATGAGAAAAAAGTACTTCTTAGCTGCATAATCCTCCCGTAACTGGTACTTCTGAATTTCTTCCAAAGATACTACACTTAACCTGGAAAATACCTAGTTTAGGCGTAAACAAGGTAATTTAGAAAATAAGTGTTTCAAAAGACACCAGTCATTTGCTTTCCATGTTACTGATTCTTGGGGGGTTTTCCTCATTATATAGCATGGATAAAAGCTTCTGCACAAACTGTTACGGCTGTCTTCTGAAAAGGAAACATGGAAAACTAGCCATTTAAAAAAAGTTTTTTTAAATAAATTCTTCTTTTCTAAAGGCCGTGCTCCTAAAATTACCATGCCACCACCACCTCGGAACAAGAATGATGACAAGAATGATGACAAGAATGATGACAAGAATGATGACAAGAATGATGACTTCAGTGATGACTTCATTCATTCAGTGAAGACTTCATTGCAGACAGATAAAACAACCTTCACACCTGAAATAAAAAACACCACAGTGACTCCAAGTGTAACCAAAGGTATCCACAGTTAAGCAGTAGAAGTGTTTGGGAACGCCTCATAGTACTTTCTGAATTTAAATTTTCTCAAGACTTTCTATATTGCAGCCAATTATCAATCTTTTTAATATTTACTGGTTACTAAATATATGTTTGATAAAAGATGTACAGTTGCATACTGCATGCAGAAACAAAACTAGTCTTCCAAGTCATTCATATATATATATGAAAAGCCTTTCAAAGCTTGTTCAAACAGAGTTCAGCTTTTAATTACTGAACAAATTTAGGCAGAAGGAGAAGTTGCAACTTGGACTTCCCTTCAGAATTAATCAGATGTAACTGCTGTGTTATTCTTGTTATTTGATGATTTCTTGGAACAAAAGACTTTTGACATAGCTAATCTTTATGGAGCAGTCATATGTCGTGAAATTGGAAAAACATCATCCGACATCATCATGTTGTTTATCAAAGAAAATTGTCAGAAAAGGGGGCAAGATCACTGCAGACATAGGTGTTGCTGAGGTGCCCGTCAGATGGCAGGGACAGGAGGGCCTTCTGTCACACGCAGCCCAGCGTAGGCTGATTGCGATTAACTGTTCAGGCACTGTGGTATTTACTTCTTACAGGAGGCTCAAACTTAAGTGGTTGCATGTTCTTGGGCTCTTTCAATTTTCCTTGTTAATAATAAAATGCATTGTTCTAACACAAAAGTCTTACTTATATTGAAACAAATCTGTTGATTTTGATGTGAAACCTTGCAAAAATACCAGCTGTGCATACGTGTAGAAGAGCTGGGTGCTTACTGACGTTTACACTGTGGGAGCATCCGGCAGGGACGCTTAGCTGGGGGATCTGGTGTGGTAGGCGCTATATGTGAAAACTCTGTGCTTTACCCAAGTGATTGTCAAATGAAAAACTGATGTATGAGAAGCTCTTCTGTCTGACACCACTTTAATTAATGGCTTTCAGATGTGGCATTGGCAGCAGTTCTGGTTCCAGTGCTGGTGATGGTCTTCACTACTCTGATTCTTATCTTAGTTTGTGCGTGGCATTGGAGAAACCGGTAAATGAACAGATTAATGAAAGTGCTTTAAATGAATGTTAGCCTGGTGTGTGGGAATGACTTGCTGCATGTATCACTGTGGGAGCTACGTGGTCCGCACTTGTGGAAAGATTTTTTTTTTTTTTTTTTTTCAGAATTGTATTCTCTATGAGAAAATGTCCTCACTTGAATAGTGAGGGCAGTGAAAACAGCTTCTGGTAATTATTTTTGTTAGAGGTGCTTTTACTGAAAACTGGTTTCTCCAGTAGCAGCAAACTGGTGATGGCAAGCCAGGTTATTGGTGCTTATACTTGAAATTTGAGGACCAGTTACAGCCAAGGTGACAGTTGCTGAGCATTAATTAATGTGCCTTCTGATAAGCGGCCTACCTAAATTACCCCCTTTTTCTTTTTTTCACAGCAAGAAAAAAACTGAGGGCACTTATGATCTACCTTACTGGGATCGTGCAGGTAAAAAAATGGTTTTATGAAATCCTTTACTTGGCATTTTTGGTTTGCTGCGTATTTCAGATTGTGGTAACAGACAATTTTGACTAGCAGAAGCCTCTGTAATGCTAACTGATGTAGAACACTGAATTTCTTTTCTAGACAGACTTAACTGCCTCATTCTCTGAACTTTTTTCAGAAATACAAAATGCCTCGCCTCCTGTTAGAGCTTACAGCTTCAGATTTTTTTAGTAAACCAACCTCTTAATTACACAACATGAGGGGAAAAATAATTTATGAGGAATGCCTTTATGCCTTTCTTAATCATAGATTTGGTACTTTGTTTTGTCCTGGAAAAAATCTTTCATCTTGGTGTATAAGGCCTGTCGAGTTTTGTCTGTCTTCATTGCCCCAGTAAGCATGTGGGGTTGTTTGCAGCCCCTTTTAGGCATATTTTCCAGCTGACTGTCTTGTGCCCCCATAACTTGAGCCACTTCCCCCAAGCAGCACTTGGCAAGTGCCCGCAGACGGCTTGTGCTGTAACGGTCGGGTTTGTGCTGCCTCTGTGACCGTGCTTCGCATCTCTGTCCTCGTGTTGGGTGTTTGCTCACTGGCAAGTTCTAAGTATGCTGGATCCCTTAGACAAGAGACCTTTTAATGGCCTTATTTTCATTTATTACATGTCTGTGTCTGATAGGTCACAGCATTGTTGTCTTAGCATATTAGACTCAAAATACCCTCTATTTAAATGTCAGTGATGGACATGGACAGGTTTTTCCTTCTGTTTGCATAAATTTAAATGTTCAGTATGTGGGTCGGTTTTAAAATGAAATTTGGTAAAATGCAATATCAAAATAATGTTGTTACACTTCTCTGTGGAAGCTCTGTCTGTCCCACAGGCTACCTCAAATCTTGTTCAACAGTGCTCTGTGGTTTTGAATTTCCTGGTTTTGGGACTTTACCAAGAAAAGGGTGGTCTCTCACAGCTGGAATTAAGTATGTTAATGCATGGCAAAAGTAGAATGGCGCTGGCTACTCGGCAGAGGGATGGGAGGGAACCTGACGAAACCAACCCTCCCTGCCTTCTCTCGAGAAAACATTCATGACCACAATCACTCCTTGTCCTTTCCACTGAAGTGAAAACCCTCTTCATTCCTGTTTTTGCAAATATTCACTGATCGGCCTTTTTCATCAATGCGCATTAGAAACAGCCAGTATAGCACATTAACGAACAGCCAGAAAGCACATTAATTAAATGTACTCTTAGGTTCTAACTGAGACTGTCTAAAATTTTGTGTAAATATTTGATTGAAAAATTGGAATCATGGCTGACTTTTTAGTGTTTTCTCATAAGATACCACAGTTAGGAGTTTATTAATGTGATGAGTAGCCACTATCCATGCTGCCAATGGGCATTTAGGGACAGATTCACTGGCTGCAGCAGTGCTGCAGGTGTTTGAAGGGGGAGCATCCAGGCAGGCTAACTGGGAGAGAGTCATGTTTCCACCTCTGAGTCTTCAGTCTGCCAGAAAATATTAAAATATCTTTTAACCTTAGGGTGATGCAAATACCTACTACTACAAAGTACAAGCTGTCTTGTAAAAGTATTTTAGTAGCTTAAAACACAGTATATATGCAGTCTTAGGGGTTGTGTGTGTGTTGTGGGTTTGTTTTTTTTTTTTTAAATCCCTGTGAAGGATGGTGGAAAGGAATGAAGCAGTTTCTCCCAAGCAAATCAGCAGAACATGAAGAAACTCCCGTACGCTACAGCAGCAGTGAAATTAGTCACCTAAGACCAAGAGAGGTGCCAACAGTGCTGCAAACAGAGTCTGCAGGTACATTTTACTGCTTTTCTGGGCTATGTAACATACACAGATACATGAAATGCCAAAAAATGTCAGGAATTTGGCTACATTTAATTATTTCCTGTTTGTTTTGGGGAGCAGAGGAGAAATGAATAGTTCTGTTGGTAAGTGCATTTCTTACAAATGCAAGCTTTTTCAGATCTGTTCTTGGCATATCATAAAAACATGTATTAATTGATTTGTTGTGCTGTGGATAGACACTTTCCCAAGCTAGTGCAGTAACTGAAAGTTTCTCTACTTGTACTTCTTAAACCCCATAAAGGGCTGATGGATTTTTTTTTTTAGCCATGTTTTCATGCACTGGAAATAATTTCACCCCATTATCTTAATGAACAAATCTGAAATGTGGCATTTGGTTCCCAGCCCTGGCTGTACTGATTAAATCCTCCTTTTGATCTAGAAAAGGAGGAGTTTCTGGTAATGGCATATGCCCTTCCCTTGGTCAACCAGTCATTAGAGGAAGGTGACTGACTGTGCCTTTGGTTCAGTCAGTTTGCCGGTGGCACAAACACGCAGACGTGCGGGAATTACAGCTTCACAGCAGGCAGAGTTTCTTTCCTCTTTTTGGCTGCTTGCCTGGTTTTGCCCAGCTAGCCAGGTTTCTCACCTCCAGCTTTTGTAACTCAGATTATCTGTTGAACTAAAACAGCTCAGCTGACCACATGCAGGCCTCCCCCCTCAGAGGACAAGCCCTCCGCCCCAAGGACCACTTTTTGTCCAAAGCTGGGCAGGATAATTTAATTCTGATTTTGCAGGGAAGCATGTTTCAAAAAGCGTTGTTTTCAGGCAGATTTACAGCATGGGAAATTGCAGCTCACAATGGGAGAATTATACATGTGTGAAGTCAGGATGTTGTAGCTATCCCAATGGCTTTGACTATTGGGTGGAAATAACTTTTGTTTTTGCAAAGCAGTTGGCACTGGCAGACAGAGAGGGACCACTGGCTTGATCTAGGATAGTAATTTCTGTGACACTATTGACAGATTGTATTTAATGTGATGCCACTGTAAAAAAATTTCCATTAAATGTGTTTTTATTTTGTTTTGTTTCGTTGGGATTTGCAACACAGAGTATGCTCAGCCACTGGTAGGGGGAATTGTCGGCACGCTCCATCAGAGATCAACCTTTAAACCGGAGGAAGGGAAAGAAGCAAGTTACGCCGATTTGGACCCTTACAATTCACCTGTACAAGAAGTTTACCATGCTTATGCTGAACCACTGCCTATAACTGGACCAGAATATGCAACTCCAATAATCATGGACATGTCCAGCCATCCCAGCACACCTCTTGGCGTTCCTTCCATTTCCACCTTCAAAGCTGCAGGGAATCAAGCTCCTCCACTGGTTGGAACTTACAATAAACTCCTATCTAGGACAGACAGCACATCATCAGCACAGGCGCTGTACGATACACCAAAGGGGCAACCGGGGCCAGGTGCCACCGCTGAATTGGTGTACCAGGTACCACAGACCACAGCCCATTCAACTGGGAGTAAGGATGAACCGAGTTAGCTCATGAGGAAGGTAGAATGATGGCTTGTTTTTAAAAGCCAGTTCCATAAGGGAACTGTCAGTTCCATAAAGCTGACAATTTCATTTTTTAATTGCATTGTCTTGATATTGTTAGTCTTAAACAATACAACGTTGAACCAAAAGATGTGGTATTGGAGGTCTGGGAAACCAGAAATTCTGCCTTTCCTTAAGCTGTATATACAATTACAGCTTGCTTCCTGCAAAACCGTGAACTTTTTTATTACTACTGTACAATTGTCTGTCAGACATGAGAGAAGAACTCTTCAAGATTAGCTTCAGTAATTCATAGATGTGAATGATAAATTGGGAGAAACAGTTTAAAGCACGAAAGCCAATAATTTCTTACTAATGGTACTATTTCTGGGGAAAGAAAAAACCCAAACCCAAAGCTCCTAACTTTCTGAGATCTATATGTAAGCACTATAGCTTCTAAAATTCCTTTTACCCTCTAAAATGCCTGCAAAACTTTGGACTTTAAAAACTACTATCAGGACTGATGGCAAAAAACCCATTTAACTTCATGGCATAAAATAGTTTTGATTTCTAAATTACACTGTTTCAGCTTTTGTTCACAGGATTAGGGCTCCTCAGCTGTGTGTTCCTCAGAAGATTCCCACCATTTTTATTGGCCTTCCAAAACCAGAATCTGCTGCTTGTACAATCTGTTTTCCGCCTCATCTCCTTAAGCCATTCAGTCTTGTTCCTTCCTAGGGATCCAGGAGGCACAGAGGAAGTCACACAAGCAAACTACATGGCAAGTGCTTTTACATTTTCCCTACCAGGTGGAGGCTATGCCGAATAGTGTCTGCCTCAAATTCAGACGCTTCCCTGATGGTCACTGTGCAGGAAGCATCCAGGTGTTGGAGGTGACTGAATTCAGAAAGATTCTCCCTGCCCCTGCTTGAGTATCTGTTGTTGTGTGTTAAGATGTGAGCTTATACGAAGACAGATATGTATATACTCTTGTGAGTGCTTAAGGAAGCACACAAATATTCTAATGGTGCACAGTTTGTGTTATACACGCATTTAGCACATACGGTACGTTCTAGCACAACTGAAAAATTTTGGCCTTAGGGCTTTTCTTATGATTGTTCTTAGTAGAAATAGAAAATATTCCAAAACCTTTGCGAGAGAACCAGTACTGTTCCAAAGAGTGTCCATTTCAGAAGCATTTAATTGGATTTGTATCCTGTGAATGTTGCAATGTTCTCTACTATGAAAACATTGCAGTCAGTCTTCTGTTTGAGGTAACATAACATAGACTAGTTTTAGCTAGGTAATCGCGAAATGAAAACAATTTGGATGTCATATTTGATGTTTTTTATCTTGTTAGAAAAAAAGCACAGCTTTTTAACAGAAGTAGTAGAAAAAACCCACAATAAAAAAGCTTTATTTTTATTGTAACAGCACTGTTGGGAGGATGCCAAATTAATTTATACATGTGAAACCCCCTACCTACCCATTAGCCCAGTTTTATGGACTTCAGTGTTTGTTTCCGTGATGTAACTCAAGTCAGCCTTGGTTATTGCCCAGGGTCCTTAAACTAGGTGGAGATCATCTGAATCAACACTAAAATACTGTTCAAGAGGGCTGCCACTGTGTCTTCGTACCAGTACAGTGTCCTAACTTATCACTTGAAAATTGGTTTGCACAGGGGCTATATATAACTAACTCAGTAATCCCAAATTACTTGTGGCCTGTTCAACATCTGGGATATGTTATTCCATACTCTGTGGTACCTTAAAGACCAGTTCTACAATTTATTCATCATTCATTCTCATTCATTAAGAATGATAATTACTATTTTAGAATTGGGTGTCTTAAGCCTAAATGTGAATGTACGTAAGTGTGGTCTAGAAGACCCATTCATGAAAAAGAAAAGAAATTCCTGCCTATAGTTGTGTGTTTGATGTAATTGCAACGTTTTCTGCTTGATAAAGCTAGTGTGCAAGCTTTGTAGTTTTGCTTAAACAGGTAAGGAAGTGTTCTTGCCCATCGGCACCAACTATGACTTTCAACTTAATTTATCGGCGCAGATTTTATCTGAAGGGGGCAGTAGGTTATTTATTTGCACCAAGATGTGACATAGTTAAGAAACCACTGCATTCTCAAACTGTTTAGGCTTGGAAAAATTAACCTACCATAAAAACAAATGGATGTGTTCAAGTCAGTAAAATTAACGCTCTTGGATTTAGTTTTTACTGTAGGCCAGGTATGGTAGAACTGTAGCTATACTGTAGGCTAAGGTGGTGTAAGAATTAAACAGTTTCCCCACAGTGGGATTATTTTTTAAGCAACTGTAATGCAGTTTCATTATCTGAGCAGCATGAGCCGTTGACCAAAATGGCTGTTTTTAAGAATTTAAGTCAGTCCCTTTTCTGTAAGAAATTGGTCCCAAGCTTTGCTCCTTGCTTTCAACATTGAACATGTCATCTCCTAAGGGCTAAGAAGAGAAGTTTGAGTATGTAATGGCTGGGTTTAAAATCTATGTGCCAAATGGTTAAACACTGATTCCCAAATGTAAGTTGCATGACACACTTTTAAGATTGGCGTTCTCCTGCATACAATACAAGCAGAGGTACATTTAATGGGCCCCTTCTACACACAGACATATGGATATAAAATGTATTTCAATCTTGTTTGGCTTGAGTATTCTCCCAGAATGTATGTTCTTACCTCAGCATGTATTGTAGTCGCTCAGTATTTGTATATGTTGCTAGAACTTAGACTGTATAAATAGTGAGGGGTTTTTATATGTATGTTAAAAAGTATTTTAAATAAATTGTACATACGTATTCCTCAGTATGTTTGTATTTAACACCTACTTTACATCTAATTTATTTGTAGTTTGGAAAAGCAAAGGTTATTTATGAGTTAGTTATCATGCTGCAATGGGTGTTACGCCCTGCCTGCCAGAGTGACATTATATTCTGTTATATTTTATCTTTATATATTCCTGGTAGTAGGTACATGTTGCCCCCACCCACAGAGGAGGGGTTGGCCCCTGCCCCATCTCACCACGCATTAGAAGTAGCATGCTGACACTTACCAGAGCGGTCCTTGTCGCTGGAGTCTGCTGCGGGGGCAAGTGGTATTTCCAGGCAGGAGCTTCCCTGGAGTTACCTGCTGGCGGGATGTTGGCTCCAGACTCCTGTGTGATGAGGGGCTACAGCACAGCACAGGCAGCTGCCCTGTGTTAGTGTCCTGAGAAGGTCCAGGTCTGGTCCAGTGTATCCTGTTGCTTAGATGCAGAGACAATCCCCCCACCAGTCAGCACACCCCCTCTATCATGGCAGAGGGGCTGCTAGTTTATTCTTAAACTAGGCCATGGCTATCTTCCAGTTACTGAGAAAAAGCTGCTTTTGCTTTCAAAGTTTTCCCCTTCTTCATCTTGATTCTAGCACTGCAGTTCCTAAAATAAGGAAATAATCATTACTCTTCTTTTGCAAGGAGAAGGTTAAAATTGGATCCTAAATGGCTTAGTCCTGTGCTTGTCTGACTGAAACATCCTTGTAACATTACAAGTAGACTTGTCTTCAGTGAATGAATGCCTGCAAGCATCCTGGCTTTAGATGACCACTGTTCTTGAGGGACTGGTCTCAAGTGCGATAGCAATCCATGTAAGGCAGAACTCCTGTCACTGCAACTACCTCCGAAGGAGACCACACCATTAATATGTTTAAAGGATATCATTATTACTAGGAGAAATTAGCAAAAAGTAGGATTTGGTAATGAAGTTGAGCTAAAGCTCTTGTACACAAAAATGTTCAGACTTTGTTTCAGTGCCTCACCTGGAAAGCTGTATGTCTATGACCGGCACAGTAGTCATGACTGCCTACCTGCTACTGTGGCTTATTGGCAATTCTGTAGTTGTTGGTGACCCACTTTCTGCGCCTGGAAACTGCCAGCATCCTGCTGGAGCGTCTCCAGGCACAGGGAACATAAGTGCTGACGGGAGACCCGCGCCTCACTGCCTGGTCACCTCCCAGCACCAAAACAGACACTCAGCACCGCCACATGCTGACTCGGGGAATCACAGGAGAGGTTTCCTTTGCTCCCACAAAAAGCCTCAGCAGTATTCAAAACCACCACCACCGAACACTGGAAGTTCTCGCACTGATCATTACGTCATTTCACATTAAGGAAAAAAGCAACTTTCAGCATCCATCTTACACTGCCTCTTGCACACTGGGGATTACTTAACTGTTCCTACAAGTTCTTGCATTTTTTTTGTGTTGTACCAGTAGAAGCCGCATTGCTTGTTGTACAGGTATTAGTTCCCCCTGTAGAGGGAGGAACGCACTCTTTTGTTTTTTTCATCTACAGGGAGGAATTATGCCAACTTCCTTACTACCAAGATGCCTAGTGCTTGCACTGGAGAGGAAAAACAATTTGCTAAAATACATCCCCTGCTGAGAACAACTCAGCTTGCTGCACTGTATTATTACTACTCTAAAGGAAGTGAAATCATAGAATCATAGAGTATTTCAAGTTGGAAGGGACGCATAAGGATCATCAAGTCCAACACTCCGCTTCTCACAGCACTACCTAAAACTAAATCATACGACTAAGAGCATTGGCCAGACGCTCCCTGAACTCTGACAGGCTCAGTGCTGTGACCGCTGCCCTGGGTAGTCCCTGGCCAGAGATGCCAGTGCGCTGGTTACAGTGTCGGCTGCGGAAACTTCCACCCAGCATCGACCTTCTGTCTTTTGTCTCCTGGTGCATGCTCTCCTCCAAAATACTTGATAAGCTGCTGCATAATGGAATGTTCATAGGTGAGTTCTGTCTGCTGCTCTGCAGTGGGAAGCACTTGTTTGGGTCTCCTTCATCTTGCCATCCACTTTTTAAAAAAATAGAAAAGAAAAAAAGCTTGAAGACATGCTCTTTCAAGTTTGTCTGAAATTCACTCACTGCTTTTGGCAAAAGAGAGGACACAGCAGACAGACCCTGCAGAAAGCCTCAATTCCTTCAAGAAAAGAATTTGAAAAAG